TCAAGATTCTGTTACTGTCACCTTACCATAAAGGTAGAGCTGGGGCTTCTGGTTGTACTTCTTGTCTGGACTACCTCACAGGGCTAACATTTTCATTCTCTGAGGAGCAAGAGACAGAACACTGCTACAAATGGACATACCAGGGTATAAATATCAAGAAAAAAAAAAGAAACTGTCCAGTTTCTCTCATCTGCAACTCAGAAGAGCACAATGTTAGGGGGGCTGAGGGTTACGCTCTCCTTTGGGGAAGCCAGAACAAAGTGGGATGGGGCAGGGCCAAAACAAGGCATGATTCCATCCACGAATTAAATAATTATCATCATTCCCCATAGATTCAATACTTTCCCCCATCTGTCACCTCAAAGTTATAATTTGGGGGTGACTTCTGGAATGGCCCCGGAGGCCAGACTAGGAACTCTGGTTGCGTCCTTCTGCTGTAAGGGATAATAACAGAACACCTTCTGCGAGGAACTCATGACCGATCAGACAGGATAATCTCTAGCCTACTAAATAAGGAAGATTTTAAAAAATCAAGAGTGCAGGTCAGCTGTTTTTCTTAAGTCCCAGCAACACTTGCCAACGCTGACGAAACCACGTCAATAGTCATTTTGTTCAGAAGCACAAAGCCTTAAACTTTGATTGGTCACTCGACAAGCAGGCCAGAGATCCACAGCTGGCTGTACGAATACTGCGCATGAACCACTTTGGATTCTTGTGTGGAGAGCTGTAAAAAAAATGAACTCTGGTCCAGAGACGTCCAGATGTTGTAATTAATTGTAAGTAGCTCTTTATACCACAGAATCCAAGCTCAAGTTGTAGAGTGGGGTGGGGTGCCAGGGTTACAATGCTCGTGGGCACATCTCTGATGCAATCACACTTGGAATAACAAGACAACAATTATTAGGAAGATCAGACTTAATGTTTTCTGGAAAAGTAGAACATCCTGGTAATTTAGTTCATGCACGAAACGGGTGTGAAATTCAGGATTATATGATGCAGTGTCCTTCATCAACCTGGTTCCCCTCCAGATGTGCTGGGACTGTGACTTGGCATTGTCATCCCAACAGGAATTGGAAAGATGATCTGTTGGGGAAGAACTGGGATATGGATTTACAAAAGTTTTTGCAGGATGCAGCTATTTTTCCTGTCTCAGAATGGCAGAGCTCAAAGTCATCCATGAAATGGACAGCAGCGGATTCAGCCAAAATAAAATACTTCACACAGGGCCTAATTAATGTATATGCATGCAATGGTGAGAGCCATCGCCTTGGTCAACTTGAAGAGGGATTAACAACTTTATGGAGGAGGAGGAGGAGGAGGAGGAGGAGAGGAAGACTATCAGTTGTGGAACCCCAACAGTGATATAGAGATATATTACATCACTGAACTCCAATAGTTGGGATTAAACAACAAGGGAACACTATCGCCTTGGCTTCCTGGTTGTCAAGCAAGAAAACAACAGGTCCCCAAGTTTATTTTGAAGGAACCATGACTCCAAGTTTTAAAACAAAGTTGCCAAATATAGAGTTAGGTTTGTGTTAAAGAGACTGTCCTAATCCTAACCTCAATCACTACACTACCCCACCTATCTCCAAAAACAGAAGGAATTTCAGCCAGTCTAGATTAAGAACATTAGATTAGATGGCTCACAGAGCTGGAAGAGTATTTAAAAGTGTTGTGTGTGTTCCACCTGTAGCAATGACGCACCTGGCTGCAACCAAGGATCAGTTGGAAAACCATTCTGCTGCCCCACCACCAGTGATTCTGCAAAACACAGCAATTTCTACCGTATCCCACCCACGGGGGGAGATGGAACAGAAGCAACTTAAGAGGACACGCTTTTTCGCTCTTCCTTCCCACAGCAGGTTTTGTATTAAATATTTTTAATATATTAATTCTTTCCATTTTTTTTAAATGCACCCAGAAAAAGCATCAACATAAAACAGCTGTGGAACCAACCCAATTGTATCACAACAGCAAAATAAGAGGTCACACTGGACAAAACCGGAGAGGTGAAAGGAACTTTTCTGCGGGAGGTTCAGGAGCTCACAACCACGCAATGTGTAAAAGGCTGTAGAAAAAGGTACACTTGTGTAGGTCAACCTGGCGGGACCCTCTTATCTGGGGGGACATAAAATAAGGAGGATTCTTTGGAAATTCTGAACACTCCCCCAGCTCCCTGTTGCTCAGTTTTTAAGCAAGTTTTCTGGTTTAGGATACCCAAAAAGTACAAAATCTGCCTCATACAGTTTATACAACCGCTGTCGCCACGCCATGGGGATTTTAGCAAACCAGTCTTCCTCCCAACTGTTGGCTGTCCTGTTCCGGTAGCTGGGAGGGAAGTGGAGAAGATGGTCCACCTTGAGAAGCTGCAACAAGTAAGTGGCATCTTCATCCAAGGTCTCCAGTTTTCCAACAAAGTCATACTCTATCTGGCATGGGTGACATAGGCGGTACACCTGCCTCCAGTGCTCATTGAAGGGGGCCAACTTTTCTGTCCGAGGGTCCAGTAAGTACTGGATGAAATCTGAGAAGGATACTCGAAAGCCCGACTCAAAGGCTTCACTCACTGACGTAGGCAGGCTGCTATAGTTGGAGTAGAGTTTTAGCATGGGGATGGCAAAACGGCGGTAGAATTCCTCGTTTGCCAGCTCAAATTTGCTGCGGAAGGCTGAGATCAGCCGAACGAAGGGGTCCCGGACGAAGAGGAACTTGGTATACTTCTTGAGTTTGATCTTCATGAGGTGGCGGGAGAACTTGCCATAGCGGCGCCAGAACTTGTTGAAGGTAAAGTGAGTAGTGGTATTGTGGACGTGCTCGCGGGGTATGTCCAAGGGGTCAATGTATGGAACCCCTTGATCCATTAAGCTTTCACTCAGGACAATCATTACCCGCTTCCAGTTGGTGCAGGCCACTTTGGGGACATAGCAGTAGATAATGCCATGGTGGTCATCTACAATGAGGTGGTTCAGCTCATAGTTGGGAATGTCATCAAACGTTCGTTCCTTTGTCGGGAAGGTGAAGCTGGAATTAGTGCACCAGTCCTGCAGCATCTTCCGCCGCTCCTTCTGCAACTTCTCCTGGTCCAGGATCATGCTGGCATCCCGGGTGGACCAGTCATAGCCTCTGACATTCTCCTCCAAGTTGCTGGCCCTGGGCCTGCTTGAAGCATGCAAGGGTGGCTTCTCAGTCTTCCGACCAAGATCAGTGTTTTTTTTCAGATTAGTATTCAAAAGTTTCTCCAAAAAGTCATCCACATCCAGCAAAGAACCTGGGCTGTCCTTAACCACGGTCGGGACAACCCCCTGAGGTCTTGAGAGGGTCGTGTGCAGGTAGAAATGTGCAGTCCCTACATTGTCCCAATAAACGATAATCAACAATATCATGAAAATGGAGCCGAGTACCACCGAGAGACGAAAAAGACGTGCTTTGGTCATTCTGCCAGGTGTAATCTTCAGCTACTTCATACTGAGCTCATCTCTAACTCAGTGGGAAACATCTGGAATCCAGCATGGCCTTGATGGATGGTCAAAACCTGCAAGGGGTACCAAGCACAACATGAACTTTCTTTTCCGCAAACATTATTAGAGAGAAAAATACAGAACCCTTCAGCTTTCTCCAGTCTGACCTCCTGAAGACAGCTAATGGAATTCTGGGGGTTGGAGAAGGTTGGTATGTATATTTCAACACGTAGCACACAAGGAAGTTTAAAGGGTGCGCCAAAGAAACAAGAAAGTATGATAGAATCATTTCGAACAGTTGTAGAGATATCTTGTTTTAGAACATTTCATGCATGGTACTACTTCTCTAGCTTTTTTATGTCCTTTTAAAAAATATATATATTGATCAGATCCATTCTACAGAATTCAGGACAACATCCGCGAAGCACCAAAGGGTCAAGGTGAGAAAAGGAGCGTAAATCCTAAATATCAAAACTTTCAAAGCTGAAAATGCCTGCACAGTCAGGGTTCATTTTTTTCTGCCAGAGTTGAAGGAGAGCTGGCGCCTGGCTGCATTTTCTGTCACCAATGCCAGCCTCCCACCACCCACTTTTAGATCAATGTGCCACAGGTAGTCAGATCTACCAGTACAAGTTGGCATTAAGGCAGTGCCTATAGTAGAACAACTCAACATCATAAGGAAGGGCAAGATTTTGAGTTCTCCTCTAGTCTTCATCAGAGTCCACAAAGGAGAAGGCAGAAGAAGTTGAGAAAAATGGACAGAATGTGGGAAAGAGTGGACAACATTCAAATGAGGCTCTACCAGGTGCAGAGATGAATTTGGGTTCCACCTAAGACTTTCCCTGAAATCTCCACGGCAGAGTTGATCCTCCACGTTTTTGAAAACTGCAATAAAGAACTACTTTGTCCTTAGGCAAAACTTGCCAGTTGCTTAAGAGATGGAAACACAAGGACAGTGAGAAAAACGAGGGGGCCCAAACAGGAGAAGCCTTGTTTATCTGCTTTCTTCAACAGCCCCAGTTTCCACCCTGAAACCATTTCCAACTAAAAGCCTGACTTGAATATCTACCACCTATTTCCAGTTCCCACTTAAGACGGAGATGAGGTTCACCCATCATCTTCAGTTGCAAGGGCTATAATGCAGTCTATAGGGTAAAGTCAGCCAAATTTGAACATTAATTACTTATAACCACCCCTGCTTTCTTGAGGGGGAGGAGGGCTTCCTTTAGTATTTAACCTGATGAAGAAGAGTCCTGTACATCTGAAAAAGTTGCCTGGTAACACTATCACCCTAACACAGAATTGATTTTTCCCGTTCTGACACAGCTATCTTCAGAGAGCAAAGTTCATTCCCCTTCCACCTGTCAGAGTTTTATCTCAGCTTCACTTACAACCCCTTCCAGAGCTATTTCACACACAAAAGTGAATTTCCCCTCCGGAGATAACGTGATAACCTTTCCCCCTTGATAAACACGATCACCATAAGTGGCATCTGCACCACTGATTTCATTTGCTTCTAGGGCTGTTCTTCTGTTTTTTCAAAAAAATCTCAGCTGGCGAATGGTGAATTTCGGAGTCGCAATAGGACCAACGGCGTTTGGACGTTTCTGTTCCTTTTAGACTTGGGGTAGATAGAAGTCCAGACATCTGCTTCAGAAGCTGGTTCTGAAGCCCTGATTTCTCAGTGCCTTCAGCCAAAAGAGACATGGGGAAATGTTTCTAGTTTGTTTTTTTAATCAACCAGATCTCCAAAATAAGGAGCCTTCTCCACAGGTAATGAAAGTTTTTCTTCCAGACCGAAAGTGACCCATGTGCACTGTCATGCAAGAAATGTCTTCCCCTAGTCTTCTCCTCCTTGCTGGCCCCTTAGAGAAAGCAGGGCTTGTGAGGATCAGCTGCCTCCAAGACACAATGCCAGCTCGCAAAACTGCTTTGAAATTTCAAGCCACCAGCAAATAATTAACGTTTCCCAATGCTTGATTTGACTGGGGAGCAAAATTCTAAGTAAAAAGCAACAGATGCCTTATTCTTGTTCCCGACCTTTTTCTGTCTCCTTTGGAAGAATAAAGAAGTCCAGCCTTATCCTTCTTTATTGCTGAATCCTTACAGCAACCCTGCAAAGGGGATTAAGACCAGATAGAGTATCAGCTTTGGGGTTACCCAACTCATTTCCGGAAAAGCCAGAAATAAGTAAGAATCAATAGCAGTTGCTGGAAATAAAGCAACAAGGGTGTGTTTTCCAGCTTCTCTGTTGGGTTCCTGCAAAACCATCTGACTGGCTGCAGAATTTGAGAGGAAGCAGAGCAGACATGGGGAAATGCTCTTTAATGATGAGACAGGGAAAAATATGTAAACAAAGCAAAAGTGGAAAATTGAGGCATTCGCTTTGGGAATGAGTTCATCCTGATTGCATCTATGGACCTAGTACCACTTTAAAATCATCAGCACAAGAAGTTTGAAGTTTCATAGACCCAAGACTTTGGAGGTGGGTCTTCCTTGCCACGTATTGTTTGAAAGCATGCAATTTCCTATATTAAGACACTCTTCCTTTTCTGGCCCAAGCAGAGATGGGAACCCAGTGCAACATTCAGCATCCGGCTGTGGGCTTGTCTTAATACAATGACGTTTCTAGTGCTTGCTGGCCAAAGGTAGGCTAAACGTGCACGGGCTGTCTTTAATAACGCCACACGGGCTGAGAAGCTGTGGAAAAGCCCAACAGGATTAGCCCGCTGCAGGATGAACGGGGGCCCAATCCAGATGTACGTGGAAATAATCAATAGGCAAACTTTGACTAACGCAATCTTGCTTTCCTTGGCTGGAAACCGAATTCCATCCCTGCAGCTGGGCTGGGCCAACCTGAGGTGACTCATGCGAAGTTGCACATTAAAAATAGCATTTGAGAAGGATTGCAAGGATTTTTGTCAACAAGCACAGCAAAGCCACCAATCGTTTCGTATTCTGTCCCAACTCAAGTGAACCAAGAAGTGTTTGATTCACAGGGAGCCCCAGGAAGAAAAGTAGGGGCTCATTCTGATTCCCTGGAGAAGCTGGAAATACGACACA